GCTCCTTACGAGTGTCCCGTGTGTCCCCACTTGCCATGATGCCGCTTGGGAGACTTTTCTACCCAGCAAACAGCCCATAAAATCTGCAAGCAACATTCGAGGTGGCTGCTAAGATCCACATATCTTACTGGTAGGGATGAGGATAAGATTATTGGACATGGGAATTGTGGCCGGGTTGCACAGAATTGGTGCTAAGCAAGTAATACCTGGGCAGCTTAGGATGAGAGCTCCAACTAACTGCTCGCCCTGCATAACCATGATCAGAAAAACTCCTCTTTACATGCACAGTAATTCATTTAATTAGGGGGCAGCGGAAGCCTTGCATCTTCTCATGCCCCCGAGTTGCTTCCTTGCAGACTCCCGTTGCTGCTGTGTGTAGGGTTTTTTTTCCATGTGTCCTGGGAGCAGTGAGAGATGGAAGGGAGGATACACTGCGGCTGGGTGGGCACGTGGGAGAGGAAAAGCAAACAGCGAGCGGCAAGCGTGGAGGCTTTTTCCCAGGCCTCTGCATTTCCTGCCCCGAGCACTGCTGAGCCTGCATTCCGCTAGCAGGAAAACAGCACGGGGCTCGGAGAGCCATGGGATACGGGAAGAGGGTTCCAGCACAGCGAAAACCTGCATCCCTCACCTATTCCGTGGGATACCAGGAGACAGTTCCAGCAGAGTGAAGATCTGTATCCGTCACCTATTCCGTGGGATACAGGGAGATGGTTCCAGCAGAGTGAAGACCCGCATCCATCACCTATTCCGTGGGATATGGGAAGAGGGTTCCAGCAGAGTGAAAATCTGCATCCGTCACCTATTCTTCCTTCTGGGAAGATTCCTTGAGCCAGAGCAGAGGAATGTGGAGCTTTGCACTAGTGTTGGTGGAAGCTGTGGATGCCGGGATGTGTGTATCTCCTTGAGGACACCAATGGCTGCTTTGTCTTGCTCTCCTAAAAGCCTTGTTCTTCCCTCCTTTTTCCTTCTTGAGGATCCGCAAGACTTGAAGCTCCCACTATTTTTCTCCCAAAGCAAGACACAAGGCTCTTAAGGCACCTTACCTGTTTGCTGCCTCATCCTCATGGGGTTTAATGTGGATTAATCACTTGCTTCGGAAAATTAAGTAATGGAACATCTTGTGCGGAGCAACAACAGCAGCGCCCACGTCCTCATCCTGCCCGGGGCCGGTCCCCAGCCCTCGGGAATGTCACAGCCAGGACATGAGGCCTGTGACGGTGGCACCGGGGAGCTCGGTGACGCGAGGCTCGGCCACACGCTGAGCCTGACCTGCCTTTTTAAAATAAATAAATAAATAGCGGGTCTCTCCTCCAGTACAGAATGTCCTCTGACTTCTGAAGTATTTGTAATATTTCCACGCCCTCAGCTGCCAGGGAAGTTCTATAAAAAGCTGCTCTTTTTGCAAAACTCGAACCCTCTGGTGCTCCCGGCCGCGGGCGCGCAGGGTTCCCAGGGCCGTGCGGGCTGGCACGCAGAGCAGGAGCCCCCGGGCACACGGTTTTACCTGGATTCTCTCCAGAAAAGCCGCCGCTTCCCACTCGGAGCGGTGCTCGTGGCGGCGGCGGGCGCGCGGGCTGCAAGCTCGTGTCACCCGCCAGCATCTCTTGTCCCCTCCGTGTCCCCCAGCCCTGAGCTGCCTTTTTAAGGACTGCAAAAGCCCCTCGCTGATGCTCAGACGACGGCACCCCAAGCAAGACTCGAGCTTTCCACTCTGCCACCACGAGCAGAGGGTTTGGCAGCCGCTCAGGCTATTTC